GCTCACCTCCTTGCGGGCATCAGAGCACACGCTCCGCGCTCGCCCACCTCATCCCGCAAAGGCCCGCACCCCCGTCCCCTGGTGGGTGCTGGGGCCACCGCCTCTCCCCGGTTTGGGCATCCTCTCTCCGCTGTCACTTGAATCTCGCCGAGCAGAACCCCTCCCCAGTGTCGCCGAGGTCATGCCCTTCTCGCACTCGGGGCCTGTAGGTCTAAAGACTCGACAAATTGGGAAACTGGCGGAGTCCCGCTACTCCCCGCCCGGCCCACCTTCTGTTTACTTTGCCACGTGGGCTGGGAAGGACCGGGATTCTCCCAGATCCAAGAGGAATTTCTCAGTGACTCTACATCTCGCTAGATTCAGTCGTCAGAAATAAGCCTGTACCTTCGAATGCTTACGTTTTCTCCCATAAAAGCCTCTATTGTAAAAAACAACAACAAAATTTCCATCCGTATAGTTAAGTAACAAGAAATCGACCCATAAAGGACAAAATTCCGAATGACAGGCGCTCGATTTTCCCTGACGTTCCGGACTGGATAGCTACGCCTGTCCATTGAAAGTTTTTCTTTTCCGTTGCCAAGTAGTTTTACTTCTCTTTTTCATGTTCCTTTTTCTAATCATAATTTTTACTTAAAAAGGAGATAAAGAACAAAGCCCGTATGAATGATATCGAATAGTTTTTGAGATTTGCCCTCTGTCTTACAGAAATTCTAGCGTTTCTGACATTCAAGTTTTAAATACATATTTTGGGCACATCATTTATAAGATCGCTACATTGTGACCCTCTTAAATCAACACAGGTTATTTCGCGTATCCCGTGTGTGTGTGTGTGTGTGTGTGTGTGTGTATGTGTGTGTGTGTGTGTGAAATTCCTTTACAGGTAGTCTTTTGCTAATTTTATGAAATCGGAATCTTTTCTCTTTTGGAAAAAAAAGTTTAAAAAGGGAACTCTTTTCTATGTGTCACGTTGTTACTAAGAAGAATGTTTAAAGTATGTTGTAGTGAAACATTGTTTATTCCATTTTGAGACTAAAGTTGACTCAGATTTCTGATTTTGCATAGGCGCAGCAAAATCGTTCATATTCTCCGAAGCATTTCATTCTGTGAAAATGAATTTCCGTCTTTTCTAACTGTACACTAATGTGCCATCGAAGTCTTGGCAATTGCTAATGGGCTTTAAGCTGTTTGGGAGATTTCTTGGATTTGTTTTTCAAGTCCAAAGAGTAGAATTTTTCAAAGATTATGATATACATTTATGCCGTATACAGTACAGAATTGTTTAAAAAAAAAGTGTGGGTTTGGGAGCTCAATAGATCTAGTGAATCTTGCCTCTATTGCTTACTAAATGTGTGACCTTGAGCATGGTACTTTCCATAACTCTCTGTGTATCAGTTTTCTCACCTGCTACACACCCTCTAAAACAACAAGGTTGTTGTGAGGATTAAATAAAACACTAGGGTGGGAAGAGATTAACCAAAGAATTTGTATGCATATTTGCATAACCCATGGACACAGACAATAGCATGGTGAAGGCCTGGGGCGGGTGTGGGCTAGAAGGGGTCAATGGGGAAAAAAGGGGTACATCTGTAATACTTTCAAAAATAAAGATTAAAAAATAAACTTAAAACTTAAGTGCCCAAGTAGTTATTCCTATTAGCAATCATAAGCCATCTACTTCTCGGAGTTTTTCTTGATTGACTAGAAATATATAGGGTTTTCCAAAAAAATTTACACACTTTGAATAATTATGAAGGCAATGTTTATTAAAATACATTTCATTTTCAAAATTGAGCAATCAGCTGTTAAATTGTGCATACATTTTGGGGGGGGGCGGGGGGACACCCTGTATAATGTCTTCTTACATTGAATAACATGTGGCAAGTATTGTATTCACATGGGTCTCATATAAACATCTGTACATTCCCTTAGTTACTTATATGCTGATTGGAAAATGATCCTTAAGGTCACCTCCTTCTCATTTCATCTTTTGAATCTCTCTCTCTGCATTGTAACAGGTGGTTCTGGCCTATCTGGAATCATACTTGGCTTGCGGTTGGTTTTGCAACAGGCCCTAAACATTTTCTTCCCAACCTCTTTCTCTGCACCCCCACCCCACCTTTAAACACATGGCATTTTTTTTTTAATTTAAAAGGAAATACATTACTTCTCTAGGCTATTGTGACTTTGAACAGCAAAAAGGAAGTAAAATTCTGAAGGTCTCCAAGTGTAAAATATTTTAGTGAGATTTTTTGTATTGTTGATTTTTAAAAATCACCTGTTTCTTAGTTGCTATTTCTGGGAAAGAAAAGACATTGTGCATATAATCAGTTATTTGCTGGACATTAATGCACACATGTATGGGTAATTCAGAGCCAGCTTTTCTTCATTGTGTGCTTCCTTGAGATTCCCCCTTTAAGTGTAGATCATCTATTTTAAAAAGATAATTTGCTGTTTTAACAACAGTCAATTGTTACAAAATTCCTTCTCATTTTCCCCTCAGAATAGAAATAGCAGCACTGCTCCCACCTAGAGAAATCATTGCTTCTTTCACAGAGGAAAAAAAAATGAACAGGACTGGTTCCAGGACGTGCTATTCTGTGTTAGAAAATTGACTTGACTGGCCCAGGCACCTGCTTGCCTAACTCAGTTGCTCAGTCTCTAAGCCTCTTAGGGTAGAGGCAGCTTCCTGTCTCTAAAGAACTGTCCACTAAAGAACTGACCAACAGCAGCTTGCTTTACAATGCAGATTTCTTATATTGTACTAACAACAACAACAAAAACAATAGGTGAGTCTTCATTTCCTCCCCACATGCAGAAGAGGAAGTTTTCTTTGAGGAGTGGATGTTCTCTTTAACCAGGAGAACTGGTGGTACCTACTGCTTTGAAAGGATTCTAGTGCCTTAACAAAAGCATTAAATCCTGGCCTGTGGTGTCCCATCTCTGAAAACGTATTTCTGAAGTATGACATGACACAGACTCCTGCATGCCGAAGAGACAATTGACCTTCAAAAGCACAGCAGTCATTGCCATGAGGAGCTTTCCTGTTTCCTTTGTCTGGTGACATTACTGTACACCATGCAGAGGGACATGTTTAATGTAGGCAGAAGGCTAATTTTAAAAACCTCTAATAGATGGAATATTTAGATGTAACATTTTAACTTATTGATACAAATTATTATTAATTTTTTTAAAAAAACTTTTAAATCTAGAGCCAGGGGTCATAATATTAGGAAGGTTTTGATAGATTCTCTTTTATTAATATGATTTTTACTTACTTTTTCTCAGACCTTTTTTCAAATTGTTGATTTTTCGTTCTGTAATTTGGAAATTTTAAAGAAACAGGTATAAATGACATAATTCTAAGTTATTCAAATCAAGAGTTACTTAACGTGTGTGCTGGTTTAATAGGGGCAAAATGAAATGTCCGATGAAACCCAAATGTCTAATGCTGTTAAAATAGTGCCAAAGTACATTATAAGAAGAATATTAGGATCATTTGTGGGAAAAACATCATGGAAATAAATGATGTGTTGGAAACATGTTGCTAATATCAATTTCTTTTCCTCTCATAAATCCTGACTTCACAATCCAGTAACTACTTTTCTTATTCTCATCCAAATTTGGTAACTCACTTAATATCCACTTTCTTTTGAGAGAATAATTTTTCAACTTTAATAATGAATTTCAATAAAGAATAAGTTTTAACTGTTAGCAGTTACCTCAGTACCATTTTACATTTATTGAGGGTTTTATAGTTTCTGTAACATTTTTGTACATTATTGTTTTTATGGTAAGATGTACAGCATTATGTTTAATATTCAAAATCATATACATATTCAAGATGGCATTTGATTTAATTCCTATCTTATAAAAATGAAAAGTGAGGTTAAGTGACTTTCTCAAGGTCATACAACCTATAAATAGAGACACACCTCTCAAACCCAAGTTTTGTAAGTTCAAGATCAGGCCTTTTTCATGATAACAAAACAAACCTCATATCTTTTCCTGCTCATCTTCCTCTAAGTTTTTCTCCCTATTGTTAGTTCTGACTGATATAGAAATCTTCCCTTCAACACTCAGAATAATTTTCCATTATTCTTTGTTACAAAACAAAACAAAACAAAAATCCAACAACTCAGCACTTCGATTTCCTTATTTTTATTTGTTTTTATTTTTTTAGATTATTTTTAGTACTTAGTACTTCTAAGCTAATCTAATACTATTTATTAAATAGTGGCTATGCACCAAGTATTGGGATAATAGCTTTAAACTTTTTTCTTTGAACTTAATGCTTATTATAACCAAATAAGGTAGGTAATATCTTGTTCAGAATTAAGAGTTGAGTAACTTGGTTGAGAAAAAGAGCTTAAACCAAGGTCTATCTAGGTTTGTCTTTTTTTTTTCCTTTTTTTTTTATTGCTTAAAGTA